CAAGTTATGTGTTGCTTTGCACTGGCGTTGGTTACAAGGTGTTTCTACATGGTGTCCCGACCTTAAATATCCGCTTTGTGAAGCTCATGATGTGTAGTTGTCAGGGACGGGCAGATAGGGTGTATGGAACCTGTGCAGGACTCAGTAGAGAGAGGAATCACCAATCCCAATCGTTAAGCAAAACGAAACCAGGAAGCAAGGGAGTAGGTCTGTACATTGGGGAGACAAACAAGAGAGCAAACAATCCAAAACAAAAGGCAAAGTCGAACACGAGGAGCAGGCTAGAAGATCAAATACCAAGGTTTAGGCTTAGAAGAGAATAATGCGCACTTGGGAGCTCTAGGAGAATCCGCAATAGTGAGCGGGGAAGTGAGGAAAGAAGAGAACTAAAATAGTGACGAGAGTAAACGGAGATAGGTGTATTACTTGCGGCGTGAGCATTTGTTAAAGACTGTACGCGGTGGAATGTGAGACGGGACCGAGATGCGAGTGGAATGTGTAACAGTAGTATTTATTGAGTCTGGGTCTCAGGTCTATACATTAAGTGCTGTGGCAATTCTTGTGACTGCTGTTTTGTAGTTTTTAGTAGCGATCCTGTTAGGTGTTCATCTAGCCCTGTCAGTGAGCTGTGAGTTGTGACCACTGTTCCTCCTTCCTGATGTTGTTTCCCTTGTTTATCATACTGTATGCTGTTCTAATTTTTGTCACTGTTTCCATGACACTTGTAGCGGCAAAGCTTATTAAAAATATAGGAATTAAGTTTGCTGCTCCCTTGGCAGTCCCTCTCTCCCTCATCTCAGTGGTGCTGGATACAGAGAGGCCATATCAGTTGGTTCACATTTAAGGTGGTTTTCTAGCTTAAACAGTTTCCTGATAAGGAACAACTCCCAAGGCTGTAATTCTCCAGCCACCCTGATAAATGGTCATATCTGGCGCTTTACTGTCTAGGAGATTCCTTGGGAGAGTCTCATCTCAGGTTGTTTACAATAATGTTGTTGATGTACAGTAGAGTGTGTGAGAGTGTAACAGTGTTGTAAATGTGCAGTACAGTGTGTGAGAGTGTGTCAGTGTTGTTAATGTGCAGTACAGTGTGTGAGTGTTGTTGATGTGCAGTACAGTGTGCGAGAGTATGTCAGTGGTATTAATGTGCAGTATAGTGTGTGAGAGTTTGTCAGTTTATTTAATTTTCAGTACAGTCCAATTGCAGGAATAAGAATAAAAAAACATTTTTTTTTCTTCCACTGCTCAGAAGTGCAGGTTTTTAGTTCATTACAACAAGTTACAGTATGTTTTGCTTTGTGCTAGCCTTGGTTACAAGGGGTTTCTGCATGGTGTCCTGACCACAAATATCAGCTTTACAAAGCTCAAGATATACAGTATTTGTTGAGACTGGGTACTGTAGCTTCAGTGCTGTGGTAATTCTGGAAGCCATTGTTTGTAGCTTTTAGCCGCTATCCTGTTAAGGGTCCATCTAGCCCTGTCGATGAGCTTTGACTGTTCCTCCTCCCCGATGGTGTTTTCCCTTGTTTGGTGTACTGTATGCTGGTATGATTTTCATCACTGTTCCCCTGACACATTAAATCATTTTGCCACTTCTGTGACAGATGCTACTGTGATTCAGGCACCAACTGTTTCATCCCATTCAAAATCTGTTAGATTACTCATGTTGCTTGAGAAACTCATATTTTGTTGTAAGTGTTGATTTCTAGACTGCTTTTACAGCAAAAACATACTAGTAAATAATATCAAAATTAGTATGAAATGTGTAAATTATTTGTAGTTGTCATA